TTCCCGATAATATGGCAAATGGAAAGCATGTTAAAGTAGGATATAGACACCAGCAAAGCAATACAATATTTAAGACGGTTGGTGATGGAATATAAATAGTACGTATTTTGTAACCATCGTCATTACTATTATTGGTTCTAGATTTTCTACTCTTTGATGAAGTTAGTCCGCGAGAATAATTAGCTGGAATCGTGTAAATTATTCCTATGATATAAGTTACAGCACCATAACATAACACAGTCCAGCCGATTTCTTGAACAGTTTCTTTTTGTAAATAAGTTGTGTAAACATCCAATATCATAAGCAACGAGTGTAATGCACGAAGATAGCAGGCAATTGTCCAAAAAAACAATAAACTGTCAACTGGAAGGGGTCTTATCCCGCCGCAATGGTTGATAAATAAACCTTTCCACATATGTTTATAACGGTAACCAAATATAAATGATCCAGTAATTGCTAATATTCCATAAGTTATCAATGAAGTCATCGCTTCCATTCTAAACATATCACTCATAACGCAATTATAGATTTCTATGCGCCAATCACAAAACCTCAATGTTTCGTTGACGCTCATTTTTTTATGATTATGATTAGGTTTGGGTTTGAAATTCGGATTAGGATTATAAATAAGTAACTAATGACTCGAAAAAGGTTAGAAGAAGAAGAAGAGATTGTTTTTTTAAAAAAAAAATGAATGAATAAATATGAACGATTGATGAATGAACGTTGTTAATTATTATTTATATGCAGTTTGAGAATAATAAATTTTTTTGAAGGAAATACTTTTAGCAGATATTTATAATATTTTTAAAATTTAAAATTTAAAATCATGACAAGGAAGGAAAAACTATTTAGAGTCGAATTATAATATTACATCTTTGAATAACTCATTAACAATGAACATATTTGTTTATTTATCTCGCTTAGAATTAGAATTATTGTTTTAAAGTAAATATGTGATCATATGAATAACCAATTATTTATTTCTAATTGCAGTGTTACCCCATCTCCAGCCAGACCATTATTCCATTATCAAAGACTTTATTAGTAAATCTTTATACTTGCTGTTTTACTGATTTGGAAAACAAAAAAAAACTAGTAGCGTCATGCATATTACATAAAATCCTTTTGTCAAAATTGGGAGAACAGATGATCTAAATTAGACTATCACCTACTAATATGGAAATTGATTCTGGAAAAAATTTGAACTCCTTGTCGATCAATTAATATATATGTTACAAATGAATCCAAAACCGAGAAATATTATTATATTAATTGTCTTTATTGGTATTAGCTGAAAACATCATACAATGATTTCTATTTGTATATTTTATTTATAAGGCATTACAAACAAAGTTGGTAGCAACAATGTGCAAAGTATGTTTTACCTAAATATATATTATTAATATGGAAATGTAAAAAAACCTAATAATTCAATGTGTTCGTTCGTTTATATAATCAAGGTTTCCAATCCAACT